GCCCTCCTCAGTCCAGTCAGGCCTGGACCACAGCTCCAGCTCCCCACCCATGACACTTTGCTCCCTGCCCCCACCCGCCCCCAGCAGCCAAAAGTCCCACCCCAAATTCATCGCTCTCACCCGCTGGCGCCTGGTTCAAACCAGTTCCCAGCATGTGCTTGTGCTCCTGATGCCAAGCACCGGCTCCCTCCATCTCCTCTTTCCCCACCAGCTCCTTGCCCTGTGCAACCACCCCCTACCCAGTGCCGATCTTCCCAGACGCGGGCTCCACCCCATGGAGACAAGCCCACCCCCTAAGCCACCCAGGACCATCCCACACAGACACATAAGCCATCCCACGCCTCTCCTCCCATTTGCCTTTAGCCAGTGCTCTCTCTGCTCTCCCTACCTACCCTCCCTCCCACATGCACAGTCCCCCTACCCCTGCCCCACACTGTCTCCAACCCTGAGGATCTGTGCTTCTGACTTGGTGGCTCAGGGCCAGGGATGTCACCGGGTGTGTCTGGAGCCTGGATCAAGCTGGAAATTCCTTGAGAGCAGGAAATATCTCCTCCTGGCTCTGCCCCACCCCACCCCACCCCCACCCCCAGCCCAACACCTGGGATGGGGCTCCAGGCCATGTCAGGCCTGGGATGGTTGGATGAACTCAGACAGGAGAAGTAGAAATCAGCCCTGTTGGGCTCCCCTCCATCTCTCCATTAGGAGAACAGACCTGCTGTCACCATTCTAGGCGGACATCCACCTGCCAGCCCCCTCTGCTGCCCCATCCCCCAGCCTTTCCCTGAGAGGAGAAGTTAAGGCTCTCTGCGTTCTGATGAATCCTCACTTCAGGCCCAAAGGGTTGCAGCTCCCTTTGGGGGAGGGGTGGCTGGCCTCTTCTGAGTGCTTCAGGTCCTGCTATTGGGGGTTTGCCGGCTGCCACTAGGCAGGCCTGCTCTAAATTTCCCGCCCGCCTCCCTCCTTTCGCTCACCTCTCCGGGACTCAAGGGCATGGTCCTAAACACAATAGGAAATGTTCAATTTAGGGCATAACACTCATCCACAGGAAAGGTTAAAAGTCAGGGGCTGAAAATCAAAACCTGAGCATGAACTCTGCCATGTCTCAGTGAGACATGGGGCAGGAAATGGCCTTCACGCTTTTTATATCAGCCTGGGGATCTGTGAGCTGAGCCCTCCTCAGCCCTGCTACCTCCCGTGGTTCTGGGTTTCTGGAGTCAGTCTGTGGGGGGAAAACACCTGGATGTTCCCATGGGCCTGGGCCACGCATAACTAAGATACCAAATCTGGTACCCCCAAAATAAGACATGATGCATTGAAAAGTCAAACAGCCACAAGCTGGGAGATAGTAATAAGCTTTTTAATGAGTTTCCATGCTTTGTGTGCAAAGACCAGTCAACTGACTGGGCCAGGCAGAGGTGCCACCGTCTTATAAGGATGAAACCCCCACCCCAGCCCTCCCTGCAGCCAACAGCAAAAATGCAGAGCAAAGGATCCTGGGGCTCCCACGGCCCTCTCCTGATAAAAGAACTATTCCTCACACAAAGCAAAGGATATGCTCCAAGGTCAACGAAGGATTAAAGTTTTATTAGAAAAAAAATTTTAAGGAGAAGCCAAGTGGTCTGAAATCAAGAGATCAGGTAAATTCCAGAGCAAGTGGCCCAAACAATAAAGTTGGCCCATGTGGGTGATTCCAGAGCTCTTTCCCAGGCTCCCTTTCGCTCGAAACTCCACAAACCAAATAAGACCTCCATCAGAGAAAATCAGACCTTCTGTTTGTATTCTACCCTTATTCAAATACTCAATGTCCCCCCAAAATACAAGGATGAGGGAAGTATGGATTACAGTCTTTTCAAAAAAATCAGGTCAGGTTAGGCTTTCCTCTTCTCTTTCCTCTCTGAGGCCACAAGCTCTCCTCCACCGAGTCTCAAATACCCTCCCCTTGGACCATCCTCACAAACACCCACTCCCAGGTGGGCTCCTTCAAGCAGCGCAGCGTCTCCAATGTCCCTGCTTCAGTCTTTGGGATCTCAAGAAACACAGATCGCTGCCATCACTCACCTGAACCAAGCATAGTGAGAAATGTAAACTAACCACATGAGCAAGGAAATCACAAAGCATATCACTCTTTGGAATGGACATGGACACTGGAAATGGCTATCTGGGATTACCCTCTGTCCACATATGTAAGCCACTGACACTCTCTGGGAATGTGGATATTAAGAAGAGGCTGTATTTATTGAGTGTTTCATTCATTGAAAAGTAGAGCAGTGAGGACACATGAACAAGATTCTGCTCTTTTTGTGGGGGGGGACTTGCATTGGGGAGTGGCTGAGTTCACAGATGCCTCACACCACTCTCCTGCCCCTCCCCCGACCCTTACCAGACCCCCTTTGTGCCCCCTGGAAATCCTGCCCACTTCCACTTTGTTCAAAGACAAAGGGTCCTCCAAAGTGCCCACTCTTATTCTCTTGGTGCTATTGGACAGGAGGTGATGAGAGGTGGGTAGCCAGGGAATGAGTGGGGTGGAGGTAGAGCACAGAGGATGAGCTTTTTTTTGAGAGAGAGAGAAAGAGCAAATGGCAGGAGCGAGGGGCAGAGGGAGAGAGAGAATCCCAAGCAGGCTCCATGCTCAGCACGGAGCCCAATGCGGGCCTTGATCTCATGACCCTGAGATCATGACCTGAGCCGAAATCAAGAGTTGGATGCTCAACCGACTGAGCACCCCAAGGATGAGCTTTTGCATTAAAAAAAAACACCAGAGACACAAAAATGTGTATACACACCCTCCATCATCACCACCAGAAAGGAAAGGCAGGCCCTCCTCCATTCCATCCCATTCTGCTCCAGGGCAGGAGGTGCCCAGTGGGACTCCCTTTCCTCCTCGGAGCAGATCTGGTGGCCCTTGGACCTGATTTTACCTCCACTCAAACTTGGTGGGATCCAGACCGTGGTGTGCCCAGCATGTAGCCCCTGCGGGACCCTCCAAGGCCAGGAGGCAGAGACTAGGGGAGTAATACACTAAGAAAGATCTTGGTCCTCCCAGGGTTGCAGGGGAACAATGTGCCCCCTGAGGACACATTCTGAAAGCATCAGAAGGACTGCATTGCCCAAAGAACTGCTCATAGGTTTTTCTATGTCTTGAGATCAAGTATGAATTCTCATGGCAAAATATCTTCTACCCAGTCAAGTTGTTTTTGAATCTTTTTTTTTAATCCCAAATAAAATAAAGTGGAAGATGCGGAATTCTTCCTATAAATCAAGTGAAAGAAACTTGTCCATCAGAAACCCCTCTCTCCACCTCAGCAGGGGGACACCACTTGCCTCAACAGGGACTCCAAACAGACTTCCCCAGTGGGACTTCTTGGGGACTGTCAGTTCAGGAATAGGCCAGAGGCAGATTTCCCCAATCAATTGCCCCATCCAGGCTGTCGGGGAAAATGTCCTCCAACCAGAAGTCTGGGTTTTACTTCTGGGTTCTCACATAATGGGCCTGTATTAACTGTCCCATAAGAAGATCTGCCCAAGATTCTTGGAGACCAGAGACTATGGGATTTGTTTCTACCACAGTTCGAGGAGTTTCCTTTGTGTCATCTTCTGTGTCTTATTTCTGAAGTGTCTGACTAGCAAAGCAGGGTCAGTTAGAACCCCTCGTCCAGAAGCAGTCTGATGAGCCAGGATGTTTAGTCTGAAGGTACAACTGGGGTAAGACAATGGAAAGTATGTGAACTTCGGCATTCCCTAAACCTCAGTCTGAACGCTGGCCTAGCTGTGTGACCTCAGGAAAGGTACTTAACTTCCTTGGGCCTGGACTTCCTTATCTATAAAATCAAGATAATAATGCCGCTGCTGTGAGCAATGAATGAAATACACATATGATGTGCCTGACACTTAGCAGGTGCTTGTGGACAAAGGCTCCTCTCTCCTCCTCTCTCCCTTCGCCTCCACCCCACCCAGGCGTGGGGGCCCCAGATTGGCTCTGCTTTCGGCAAAGTCAAAGGAGAAATGCAAAGAGATGAAGCTGATCCTGTGAGAGTCAGAGAGGAAGTCAGCTCCACGGTCAGAATCACCTGACCCTCCTATCCCCTCTGCGCACATAAACCAATGGTTGTCTGCTTTAGTTCCTCTAGGAATCACCTGCGAGCTTGTTTAAACTCAGATCCCCGAGCTCTTCCATGGAACTTCTGCTTCAGTAGTTCTGGTTGGAGTCCAGGATCTACTAATTGAAGAAGTCCCCTCCACCTCCCATCTCTGGGGACCCTGACTTGGTGGTGGTGGTCCGTGCACCACACTTGCAGAAGCACTGAGATGGTCGGGGATTGAGGGAGGAGGGGGGGCGCTGGGGAAAACCACAAAGGAGGCAGGCATTCATTTATACTAGGAGAAAATTTTTACCATCAATATTTAATCACACACACTCAAAGAGAGTAGGAGCCATAACAGGAATTGTCCAAATACAAAAAAAAAAAAAAAAATCCCAACCAACCACCAACCTAAACACCTCAGCCATTAGCTTCAGTCAACCTTTCCATCCTGACACGTGAAGAGTTGGGGGACACCCTGGGAATGCACAGTCTCTCAGATCAGTGAGGGGCCTCCCAGACCCCCAGTCTACTTGCCCCGCCACCCCCTCAGTGCTGAGGTGACACGCCCACCGCTCCTCTGAGGGCAAAGCAGAGGTGTGCCCCCCATCGCCGTTCCCCGACCCGGCTCCCTTCCCAGAGGGTCTGGCACGCAGTCGGTACTTAGTAAATGTCTGCTAACCTGAAGGTAGTTGGGGAAGAAAGTGGCTGAGCAGCTTCTATCAAAAAGGGAGGGAGGGGAGACTCAATGGAGGTGTCAGTCATGCGCTCGAAGGGTAAGTCCTAACTGCAGTAAGAAGGAAACTGGAGAGTCAGTCTGGGTTCCCAGTCAGGGGAAATTCCTACACTGACCCTAGGGTCTCAGAGAGCAATGATTTTCCCTCCTGCTCCCCACCCCTGCCCCCGTCAGACCCACACCCTCTACGCAAACCGCACCGATCTGACACTGGAGCAGGTACCCACTACAGAAGGGGAGCAGAGGATGCCACTGCTGGTGGCCACGCCCCCCGGGCCACGGGGGACAGTGGCACTGAAGTCCCCACAGACCACGCCGCCCTGGGAACGGCTCACACCTGTGGAAGGAGACACTGAGTCAGAATTCTCTTCCCTCCCCGACGTGACATGACCCAGAATTTTTTGGAACCAATAATTTGCTTTCTTCACATTTGGCACGACCAGCAACATGAATCTTTACAACTCCAGGCAAATCCAAACCCATTGCCAACTGTTTCTGGAAGGAGTGTGTTTAGCCAACGGGATACCTAACTCTACTTGAACCAGACTAATGTTGAGATGTGTTTATACAGTCTTTGAGCAAAAACTGATGGTCACAGTGGAGGAATCATCTAGAAATACGGTTGCTGCAAGGATGAGAAGAACGGATAGACACTTAGCCTAGGGACTGCGTACATGTTGGATTATTAAAGATAAAGATTTAAGAGTTGCCTGCAGTGGCCCAAATGATCAGAATAAACATCTCATGTTTCTTATCAAAACATTGTGCCATTTGAGGAGTATTTTTTGTGTAACTGAAAGACTTGGGCTATTTTTGCAGAACCAATTAGGGGGGCAGAACTTGCCACCATCACTAGCTTAGGTTTCACACATGTTCCAGGTGGACCCGCGTAGGGGCCAAATATTTTGGACCACCCATTTGTGCAGATCCCAGAGACCTCAGCCCCTTTATCCCCCACACAGTGCCCCACAGACAGAGTCACCCATTAGATGCAACCCAGTATTAACACTCAAAAGAACGATGCCCATGATATACACCCAACTTACAGATATTGACGGAGCACACACCTTCACACAAGCTGCAGGGGAGAGAGAGAGAGCAAACATTCAGAACGGAGTTCCTCTGCTCCTGCTCGATCGGGCCTATTCTGCTCCATCCTGAGTGAGGGGAGCAGAGCTGAGGGGCTGGCGGCATGCTGCCTACCCACTACAGAGAGCATCAGCATTGCTCCTGCTCCCAGGGATCCCAAAAGGACAGGGGAATGTTAAGATTGCAGGACCCAAAGGGCCACTTTGTGCCTTGTTTGCTTCTCGGCCACGGAAGGTTGGTGTACTGAAAGGTGGACATGGGTTACAGTGGGGGTTATCCTCCTTGTCCCCTGGCTGGAAATTCCAGCACAGCCCAATAGAGGATGGGATCAGCCACTGCCTAACTGGGCACCTCTAGGTAGGAAAATGCTTGCCTCTCATTCTAATCGATCCATTTTTATCCCATGAGTTTACATGCTACCCCAGATATCCACATGACTTGATAATGCAGAGGGAGGCAGGAGGGTATGGTGGTTAAGAGTCTGGACTCTGGAGCCAAGCCTCCTGGGCACAAATCTGGCTGAGCCACTTACTAGCTGGGTGACCTTGGACAAGTCACCTAGGCTTTCCGTGCCTCAGTCTCCTCATTTCTGAAACGGGGATGATCATACCCACCTTCCAGGATTGTGGTAAGCTCTACGTTGCCAAGTGCCTACAAATAGAGCCTGGCACACAGTAAATGCACTGTGTTTGCTATTAACATTAGAAACATTTCGTTGATGGTGGGATATTTATATCACTGCAGTGGGCCCCCTCCTCCCTCACACCCACCTGAACTTTCAGTTCTATGTCTCCCTCTTTGTTAACCCCCAGCTTCAAACCTTACCCTCCAGGAAAGCTCTAGTCTGATTCCTTCTGCCTGATGCAGAGCACCTCTACGCACTACAGCTTTTCCGTGAGGATCTATGCTTTGGGCTCACTTTCCTGCCACGTGAATCTGACTCTACCACAGCCTTGGAACTGTGCCCTTCCAGAAGATTCTAGCCATCATCCTGCCTGTGGAGTCACAATGCTAGCAGCAGCTGTCTCCAAGTTGAGTGATGATGGCTGCTTTAATTTTCTTATTTTCTGCAATGAGAATTACTAGCGTAATCCAATTGAACTTATTAAGTGCCAAGAAGGGAAGATCTGTTAGAAGGTCAATGGCCACAATATGCAAGATGCCATACACTAAACCATCTTTTAAAATCTCATGTGTTGGGGTGCCTGGGTGGCTCAGTCGTTAAACGTCTGCCTTCTGCTCAGGTCATGATCCCGGGGTCCTGGGGTCAAGCCCCGCATCGGGCTCCCTGCTCCGCGGGAAGCCTGCTTCTCCCTCTCCCACTCCCCCTGCTTGTGTTCCCTCTCTCGCTGTCTCTGTCAAATAAATAAATTAAATCTTTAAAAAATGAAATAAAATCTCATGTGTTGGAGACAGTGCCTCATTCATTATATGGTGAAGTTATTAATACGCTAATGATGATGATGATTACAATGAAAGTAAGTTTCACGGCGCAAATGCCCAGTGCCTCACTGAATGTAGATGAGCAGGTTGAGGCTAAGTGTACAAAGGAGGAGGTAGACTCTGGTGGCCTGAGGACATGGACAGAAAAGTTTACCTGCTTTGGTCAAGCACAGCACAAATCCAGCAGCATGGCCAGCTGCCGTGGGTGCCACAAACGTCAGATTTCTAAAGCTAACCTGGTTAATAAGGAGCCTCTCCACAGTACAGCCCTGCCTGGCCACCCTGGATAGACAGATTCTTACTCTGATTGTAACCTGCTCCTACTTGTGCTTACTATGCACATTAACTCACTTAATCCTTGCAATAGCCTAAAGTGGTGGGTTTTATGATTACCTGTTTTACAGATTAGGAGGCTGAGGCATAAGGTTTCAGAGTTGGAAGTGGTAGAGCTGGGATTTGAGCCCAGGTGGTTTGGCTCCCAGCCTGTGATCTTAACCTTTATATTCTACTCCCCCCAGTCTGGCCTGCTCCTCCGTGACGGAACCCAGCTAGGAGGCAGTAATGATGCGGCCACCTCTAGGCTAGGGGCCCCGCCACTACCCCAGGTATAAATCCACATTGCTCCTTCCCTTGCTGACTTCACTGCCCCGGTTCTTGGCTCAAACTGTCAGCACAGCCTGATGTCTCCTGTCCCTTTCCCACCCCCTCAGCTCTTCTACCTCCTCCTCTGAGAAGCCCCCAACAGCCTCCCTGGGACACTAACCCTGGTCACCTGGAGGATGGATTTATGTCCAGCCCCGTCTTTCCCTGCTAAGCAAGGACGCTGAGCAGCTCATCTCCATTTGCTGGTCCTGAACATGGAACTACGGGGCTCCTTGACTGTGCACTCCAAATCAAATGGCCTTTAACAAATCTTCTGAATGATTCCAGCTTTTGCAACCCATTGAGATGTGATTGCAGAAACATCCTTTCAGCCAACAGGGTAAAGCAGTTGTCTTGGAACAAGCTTGAGGTGCCGCCAGAGGGGCAGTGTAGGAGGGCAAGGATCACTGGAACCCTAACCAGGAGATTGGTGTAATGTAAGCATAGCCACTACCTAGCTGTGACCTTGAACAAGTTCCTTCCCCTCTCTAGGCCTCAGTTTCCCTGTCTGAAAATGGGGAAATGGTTGGACTCCATGATTTCTAGAGCCTTTCTGGAGTCCTTCCTGGTTTGAGTGCTCTCTGCCTGGAGGATTATAGTCGAACGAGGCAGTCTTCAAGCCCTGAGTGGGGATGTGAAGTGACCCTGAGCCCTGTCCTCACCGGCTCTCCTCGCCCTCCAGCAGCTTGCAGTAAGTGGCGATCTCCACATCCAGGCCCAGCTTGGAGTTCATCACCTCCTGGTACTCCTTGAGCAGGCAGGCCATGTCCTGCTTGGCCTTCTGCAGGGCCTCCTCCAGCCCCGCCAGCTTGCACTTGGCATCACTGAGGGCCGCCTCGCCCTGCTGTTCCGCCTCTGCCACGGCACCCTCCAGCTTGTAGCGCTGTCAGGGAGGAGAGGAAGAAAGGAGTTTGAAGGGGGTGCAGGCTGTGGGAACGCTGGTGGGTCCCCCATGGCCTCAGTCAACTCCATTCAAAATGGTCAACTTGCAAATAAACTAAGCAGGGATATAATAGCCCTTTGGAGCTTTCTTCCTCCATTTTTGTACCACTTTATTGTAAAACCCAAGTGCCTGGTGAGCCGTTAGAGGGAGGGAATGTTAGCACTGGGACAGGGCTGGTAATAAGTAGTGATATTATCTTACGTTTGTTTACTGTTGTTAGTTTACAAGGCACTTTCACAGATGCTACCTTATTCGCCTCCGGTTACTCTCTGAGCTTGTGAGAACAGGCATGGTTATTCCCATTATGCAGATGAAGAAAATGAGACTCAGAGAAGCTGTGACTTGCCCTAAGCTACCAGTAATTAGTGACAAGCCCAGGTTTTCATAGGCCACTATAAGGGGTTCCATTCTCTGACCCACTGAGATCAGCATACTGGAAGGATTCCCCACGTAAACACCCAACATATTAACTGTAGCTCCTCCCTTCTGCCCCACTTAAAGCAGAAGGAACTCCTACAACTCAATAGCAAAAACAAAACCCTTAATAATCTGATTTTCAAAATGGGCTAAGAACTTAAAGAGACATTTCTCCAAAGAAGACATATAAATGGCCCACAGGTACATGCGAAGATACTCAGCATCACTCATCTCCAAGGAAATGAAAATCAACACCACAATGAGAATCACCTCACACCTGCCTGGTTGGCTATTATCAAAAAAAAACAAGCTAAGTGTTAGCGAGGATGTAGAAAATTGAACCGCTTGCAAACTGTTGGTGGGAATACAAAATGGTGCAGCTGCTATGGAAAACAGTGTGGAGGGTCCTCAAAAAATTAAAAATAGAACTACCCTATGATCTGGCAATCCCACTTCTGAGTATTTATCCAAAAAAATTAAAATCAGGATCTCAAAGAGATATTAACACTCCCATGTTCATTGCAGCGCTATTCACCACAGCCAAGACATGGAAACAACCTAAGTGTCTATCTACAGATGAACAGATAAAGAAAACGTGGTATAAACATACAATGGAATGCTATTCAGACTTAAAAAAAAAAAGGAAATTCTGCAATATACCACAACATGGATGAATCTTGAATACATTATGCTAAGTGTAATAAGCCAGATACAGAAAGACAAGCTACCTGAGTCCACTTATATGAAATACCTAAAATAGTCAAATTTAAAAAAATTTTAAATTAAAATAAAAGAGTCAAATTTATAGAATCAAACAGTGGGACACTGGCTGCCAGGGGCGGAAGGAGGGAAAATACGGAGTTACTAATCAATGGTCATAAAGTCTCAGTTAAGTAAGATGAATAAGCTCTAGAGACCCACTGTACCACACTGTCAACAATCATGTATTATACCCTTAAAAAATGCATTATGAGGGTAGATCTCATATTAACAGTTCTTACCACAATGAAATAAATATTTTTAAAAGCGTATTAGCATGCAAGCGAGGATAACTTCCAATCTTCTCTAATTTCACTTCCAGGACCATTCCCATATTTTATCACCTCAGCTATGAATAGCAATGAATTAATTGTGATACATCTTACACAGTGTTTGAGAACCACGACACAGAAGGGAGAGGATAGAAATTGAGCCACAGGTATGTGAGAACTCAGGATTAGGACAGAGGTCGTATCACAAACCAGTGGATAAGGAATGGATTACATGATGTATTTTCTTACTCTCTGTAGGAACAAATTAGCTTAAACCTTACTCTTTGTATATACAAAAAATAAAGTCTAGACAGGTTAAAGACCTAAATGTGAAAGGTAAAACTATAAAACTAGTTGAAGACAAGAATGCAAAAGGATACCTCTATGACCTCAAACCTTCATAAGTATAAACCATTAAGGGAAGAGCTGATGGGTGTGGCCACACCCAGGTTAAAGATTTCTGTTCAGGAAAGCAAACAGACCAGTGACAGCCTGAGAGGAGATGAACTACAACATGCAGAACTGACAAAGGATTACGATCTAGACAGAATGGACAAAGAACTGCTGCAAATAGTCGAGAAAAAAGACAGGAATCACAATACAAAAATGGGCAGATAGGAATAGGCAGTGCTTAGAATGGGAAATGCAGATGAGTAAGTAAGCCTATGAGGAGACATTCGACATCACTAGTTAACCAGAGAAATGAAAATTTGAAAAACAACTTGTTGCTAGTTCACACCTACTAAAGCCACACGTATCGGAGTCTGATAATAGTGAGTTTAAGCAGAAGCCCCCACCTGTCTATGGTGGGACTGTGTGCCGGCACAGAGTTCTGAGGGTTCTTACAGGAAGTAATTCAGTGAATATCCTGCAACTCAACATTTCCACTTCTTGCTTTATACCTTCAAGACATCTCTCATGTAGATGTACATGGAAACATGTATACGTGTGTAAAAATATATAAAAAATGTTCATGATACAGGGCGCCTGGGTGGCTCAGTTGGTTAAGCAACTGCCTTCGGCTCAGGTCATGATCCCGGAGTCCCTGGATCGAGTCCCGCATCGGGCTCCCTGCTCGGCGGGGGGTCTGCTTCTCCCTCTGACCCTCCCCCCTCTCATGTACTCGCTCTCTCTCATTCTCTCTCTCTCAAATAAATAAATAAAA